TTGCTCGACTCTTCATAGGCACGACCCGTCGGACAGTTATGGTACAGCTTCTCGACTATGCAGGCCAGCAGGAGATTTTCACCTAATCCTACAACATTGGCATCACAGGTGAACGCCATTCACAGCCGTCTGCTCGGACTTTCCTTTCGGTTGGACGCATGTATTGGCTCGGATGTCCATGTTCTAGTTCAACGAATGGACGAATTGATAGATTTTGTGAAAATGGCAATAGATTTCAGCATACTACCGTTGCCTGTAGAGTTATTCACAATTTGCACAAAATTGACTTTAAAGGCTAGGCCATTTCACACATCTGCTCTCAGTGCGCATGGATTTGTGCAGAACAATCTTATCTCATCAAATTGCACCAGATGGAATGTTGTTATTCCAGATAACTTTTCCTCCATCCCGAGCAGACCAAGCCTCCTAACCTACACGAGTTCGATGTAGCTTGGCTGTAATACCGGAAATGTGCAAAGGATTCTAATCATAATTGAATGTAGATTGGTTTATGTACATTTAAATTAGTCAGTCAGTTAGTATAGCACGAATGTTGGAGGTATGCATTGACGTAGGTGGTTGCATTCAATTGGTATTGCATACTCTATCAACAAGGGTGCATACAGCTCAGCCCGGTTTGATGGCTTTTTTTGACATGGAGGCGTGGCAGACAAACAACTTTTTCAATTCTCTTCCAGTTTCCTTGGCCCGAGCCTCTGGTGGGAAAGTTCGAGTGTTGTCTTGGTAACTAATTAAACAATGTGTCGTGGGTAATCTAATTGGCATTTCTTATCTACCGCCAAACGATTGATATGGTCGAGATGCTGAGCATAAAAGTAATCTTGGCGAACTGTACCAACTGGATAGGCCTCGAGGCAAGCCTCAACTGTAACTAAGGCACTTGGTTCGGAATGCCCTTATCATCGTAAATCGAATACTTTTCCGCTTGTGCATTCCAACAAGTGATGGTTCACTTTGGCGAGGAGATGCAATGTGAGGATATTATAATCGACATATGGTCTGAATCCTTATATTTTTGTAGATTTCACCTCGTATTCGAGTATTTTTCTCTGGTACATGCTAGGTTGAATGTGTAAATAGGGCGAATGAAGGAGTTAC